TATCCACTAGCCTCGACTTCCACGGGCGCTGCGGGCACGGGGGTGAACACGGCGCCACTCAGCTCGATCTGGGCGCCCAGCGCCTCGGACATGAATGCGGGCGCGACGAATCTGCCACCGCATCTGGCATCGTACGGCGGCCGCAACGATCTGTACCAGCGCCCGATGCAGGCGGCGTACCCGACGCCTTCGTGGTCGAACCAGAGCTACCCGCAGCACGCTGGGTCGATGGGCGGCGGATTCGGCAATACGACGCCGGATCCTTTCAACCCGCACGCGTACGGCGCTGCGCCGGGCATGCACGCGCACCACGGACAGATGCACTTCCAGGGAGGCGCGCCGTATGCGCCGAGCATGATGGATGCTTCGCAGCCACGCATGACGCCCATGCCCGGCGATGTGCACGGCACGAGGCGCAGTCAGGACGCGTACTATCCCGGTGCGGCCGGTGCCGGTGCGCCACAGCATCCACCTCGCTTTGGATAGAGCATGCTTGCAGTAATAGTTGGCTGTTTCCACAAGCGCAGCTTGCAGTGTGTGTGCGTGTGAGCACGAAGGTTGTGTGTGGAAGCGCTGTTGAGAGGATGAGCGGGTGGTGCAGCTTTTTCGTACGAGAGATGTTGGCGAGCTGGAAGAAAATCGCCGCACCCGAAAAAAAGGGCGCGTGGGTGCGCTTCCAACAGTCGAACCGAGCTGGGCGGAGGTGCAAAGGCTTTCGAAGGCGGGCCACGTCTGACTCGCTCAGCCGCACCGACCGCCCTGTCAATGCTCGCCAGAACTTGCTTGGCTTGCTTGGCTTGCTTCTGACTTCCATCACCACCCAGCGCACCGTACGGTTGCACCTTTCCTTCACCTGCATCTTCCCGTCTATATTCGCCGCCTCGCATCGAGTAGACCGCCAGGATGCCTACCGTCGGCGTGGACAAGGAGCGCTTCTTCCAGGCGCTCGGGCGCACGTACACCACGCGCGAGTTCGACGAGCTCTGCTTCCAGTTCGGCATCGAGCTCGACGACGACACGACCGAAGAGGTGCAGAAGGCCGGGCTCGGCGAGAGGCCGCAGCTCAAGATCGACATCCCCGCCAACCGATACGACCTGCTCTGCCACGAGGGCATCTCGCGCGCCCTCAACGTCTTCCTCGGCAACATCGAGCAGCCGCAGCTGCGCCTCACCCAGCCCGAGAAGCTGATCGAGGTCAAGGTCTCCGCCGACACCGCCAAGATCCGCCCCTACTTTGCAGGTGCCGTGCTGAGGAACGTCACCTTCACGCCCGAGAGCTACGCCAACTTTATCGATCTGCAGGATAAGCTGCACCAGAACCTCGCGCGTCGCAGGACGCTCGTCGCCATCGGCACACACGACCTCGACACCATCCAGGCACCCTTCAGCTACGAGGCGCTGCCGCCCACCGAGATCAAGTTTGCGCCGCTCAACAAGCAGACCGAGTACGATGCGGCGCAGATGATGCAGCTGTACGAGAGCGACAAGCATCTGTCGCGCTACCTGCCCATCATCCGCGACAGCCCCGTGTACCCGATCATCTACGACCAGAATCGCCAGGTGCTCAGCATGCCGCCCATCATCAACTCGGACCACAGCAAGATCACGCTCGCGACGAAAAACGTCTTTATCGACACCACCGCCGTCGACGAGACCAAGCTCGGCATCGTCATCAACATCATCGTCGCCATGTTCTCGCAGTACTGCGCCGAGCCGTTCACCGTGGAGCCGGTGCGCGTGGTGTACGCCGATGGTACGCAGAAGGTGACGCCGGACCTGTCCAACGTGCGCTTCGATGCGTCGGTCGAGTACATCAACCGCTGCACGGGGCTGGCTCTCTCGGCGGACGACATGGTGGGCCTGCTGCGCAAGATGGGCCACACCGCCGCCGTGGATGCGTCGGACGCAGGTAAGCTCGTGGTGGATGTGCCGCCCACACGACCGGACATCCTGCACGAGTGCGATCTCATGGAAGACGTAGCGGTGGCGTACGGCTTCGACAACCTGCCCAAGACGTTCCCTGCGACCAACACGGTGGCTGCGCCGTTGCCGCTCAACAAGCTGGCGGACATTGTGCGCCGCGAGTGTGCCTACTCGGGCTGGGTGGAGGTTCTTCCGCTCATCCTGTGCTCGCACGACGAGAACTTTGGCTGGTTGAACCGACCGGACTCTGGCAAGGAGGCGATTGTGTTGGAGAACCCCAAGACGGCCGAGTACCAGGTGGTGCGTACGACGTTGCTGGCGGGACTGCTCAAGACGGTGCGCGAGAACAGGAAGCATGCGCTGCCGCTGCGCACGTTCGAGGTGAGCGATGTGGCGTTCCAGGATGCAGAGGAGACGGAGCGGTGCGCGCGAAACCAGCGCCATGTGGGCGCGGTCTACTGCGACAAGGCGGCGAGCTTCGAGGTGGTGCACGGTCTTTTGGATCGACTCATGCTCTCGCTGGCTGTGCCGAGGATCTCGGGTGCGGCGGCCAAGGAGACCAAGGGTTACTGGATCGAACAGGCCGAGGATGCCACGTTCTTCCCCGGAAGGGCGGCGACGGTGCATCTCAGGACGCCAAGGGAGAAGGTCAACCCCGGTGCGGCGACGGGTGCAAAGGGCGCATTGGAAACGGTCAAGCAGACGCTCGAGAAGGTGCTCCCCGGCAACGAGTACACCGACGAGAAGGTCGGCACCATCGGCGTGCTCCATCCGTCGGTGCTGGCCAGCTTCGGTATCGACTACCCCTGCTCCGCGCTCGAGTTCAACCTGCACCCGTTCCTCTAGACTCGCCTGTAGATCGGTAGCAGTGCGCAATATCATGACGTCATTTCACTAGTGCTTGCTGGCCTGTTGTTCACGATGCTGTTCGATGACTCTGCAAGGCCAGACCACCCGGTAAGGTGGATGGCTACTTGCTGCATGGTCTTGGTTGTGAGACGAGGTTTTGCGCTCTTCTTCAAATGTTTGATCGTATAAAGTGTTGACTCGTCACCCGCAAAATCCCCACTCCGCGTCGTTTTGGAGGCCGCATCCAATCCTTCCCTCGGCTGCCTCGGCTGCAGAGTGCACGTCCTCCTCATCATTCTTACCGGCAGCAACCCTTTCCTTCCTCCATCCAAGAAGCCGACACAGCGGCAGCCGTTTCATGGCCTCGACCATCCAACCCGGCGTCCTCTCGACCCTCTCCGCACTCTCCTGACTGCTTCAGCAGCAGCACATCTTCAGCGCCAGTCCCGCAGCACGCCGCCTCGAGCGTGCCCCCACACATCACACGCGCTTCCTCGGCGCATCCCACGTCGCTTGCTAGCAGAAGCCTGGTTGCGACCTACTGGACCGTTGCAGCGACCGTGAGTCGCGCGTCGCAAGTCACCATGGACGACGATGTAGAGATGGACGACGAGCAGGAGCAGGAGCACGATGCCGTCGACGACACTGTCTACGACGATCCCGACGCCGACAACGACGACATGGATGATGTAGACGACGACGAAGACGGCGATGATGACGAGGAGGACGACGATGGAGATGAAGACGACGACGACGACGATGATGATGGCGATGACGACGACGATGATGACGACGACAACGAGGATGCGGACGACGACAACGACGATGCCTCGGTCGCCGCCTCTGGCGCCGGCGCTCGTCGCTCCGCCCACGAAGATGCCCTGTCCGCCGCCACGTACCTCCGCAAAGTACAGGAGCGCCGCAACCTCTTCCGTCCCTCGCCGGCATGCGTCGACACGACGCTCGGATACCAGATCGAGCCCATGGCGG